ACAACTGATACAAAGCGTGCCCTACTGTAATTACTTTGACTGCAGCGGCGCCTACTTCATACTCGAGAGGAGAACGAACGACGCGCGCCCCTGCCTTGTCCGTTGCGCCCTGCTCGGCCCCCGCGTCCCCGAGAGTGGCCCAGTAGCTCTTCTGCTCCTGGAGCGGCGTCTGCTGGGAGGCCTCCAGGAGGAGTGTGATAGATCCGAGGGCCTTGACCGTGATCCTCGATATTCCCACGTCCTGGGTGTTCGACGTGCCGCATTCTTTGCTCCACAGGCTGGCCGTCGGCATGTCCGTGTTCTTCATCACCAGCAGCAGTCGATCTGGCACCTCCGAGAGATGCTTGACTGAGTTCTGTGCCGCGCCCTGCTGCTCGAGCCATCCGCTGAAGCCGCTCAGAAGTGCGGCAAAACTCTGCAACTCTGGTGGGCCCAATCCGTGAGTGTTGGTTTTGCCCTCGACTTTCTTCTGGTAATCGCTGTACGTCATCTTCAGCATTGTGACTTGAAACGAATCGCTGGGCCCGTATACTGTCAATCCCGATCCGAATTCCAGCGTCCTCATGCGGCTCTCGAGCTGTCGTAGAAGCTTGGCGTTGACGTGTCCGTCATCTGGCTTGTCCACTCTCCGATGTTTGTCCAGTTGGTCTCTTTCCGCCACCTCTGGCCCCCTCTTGAGAGCTGACGCCATGATCCAGTCTGCTTCCGCCGTGTTCCTCCTGGCCCTCGGCCCACGAAATGGCCTCGCTGAGGCCAGGCAGCTCGAACTCTAATACATGTGAAAGCAAGTGTGTCTGAAGATGCTCGACCAGTAAATGTCTACGGAGACCATCGTTGTCGAGAGCAACGTAGTCACAGGTTGGGCATTCATATGAGTTTGGCTGGATGATACTTCCATCTGCGCGGCTTTTGCCTACATAGCATATACCCCGAATCATGTTGTTATTCATGTGCCTATTTGCATAGTCGATGGACGAGAAGCTGGGGCCGCATATTACACACTGACTGGATACACAACGCATTCGTCCCAGTAGCTGTTTTCCGTGCGTGTCCCCCTTCGTCATCACATAATGTGTTGCCAACTGCTTTGTTGTTTGGAACAGTTCATTGCACATCGCCCCGTCGCCCATGAGTGCCGTGCAACGGTGAGGACCACCCTTCTCAATCTCTTCCTGTTTGTGCTCGTGCTGTTTGATGTTCAGAAAGTAGTGTGCCCTTATAGCCCTCATGTCTAAGTGGACGCTCCCTCCCCTCGAACACTCTTCCACTCCGTAGATTTCTAGTAGCCTAGCTCCGTCGTCGAATAGCTCGATTGCCTTGATGTCGCATAGGAACTGCTCGCACCAAGGGTTCGCTCTCTCGTCGTCGCTCGCGTATCTGTCGATCTCGGTTGTTTCGTCGTCCCAGGAGCGCCCGAAAACCACCGCCAGAAATTGAGCAAACCTCGTGTGGTGCTTTAGACATTGTTGAAGCCATCGGGGCCTTCGGACCCTCATCTCGACGTGCGGGGCTGCTAGACGTACTTTAGCTAAGGCCTGGAGGTTGGACAGGGTTCGGATGGTTCCGTTTTCTTTCGTTCTGCAACACTCCTCATGAGTATTTGTGCACGCATGGCGATGAAGCTGAGGATGGGCTGCCAGTCATGTGCTCGCATAGGCCCATTCTTTGAACACAAAACCTCGGCTCCGCTGTAGCACTCATTGGCCACATATCCTCTGAGCTAATTTATCTTCCATACCAAAGAGACACTGCTACTCCAGAACTGGTTGAGACTGTACCAGGCCGCTCTCCCTGCTGTTAGTCCGTGCTCGATCTCGCAGAGAGCAAACCTGGTATGGATGCGCGGTCCAAGGTACCGCGCGAAAACTGCTGTTCTCCCTTCCAAAAGCTGCTCACGCAGAAGCTACGTCTCGAGATATACTGAATGTTGGCCTGCCAAATAAAAAAGACTCTCCTGCTTGCTGACATTCTGTGCCATCCTGACTTCCGTCATTTTGCCGGTATTGTCTGATTATGAAAAATGCTTGCAGTCACGATGCTCTCTGTGCTGTTGTTCACGTCGGGATTGTCTGCTGCATCGTCCACAAAAAGTGTGAAAGCTGCCGGCACCCACTGTTTGGACCAAGGACAAAAAATTGTTCTGCTTGTAGTTGTTGATGCTAATAGATCCCATTCCCATATGCTTGGCGTGCGCCCCCACAAACAGTCTGACCATAGTTGGATCGCCTGGCAAGCATCCCTGCTGTATGAGGGGCACCTCGTTGGTCTCGTCGCCAGGCAGCATGAAACAGGCCAAAGTGACACTGAACTTCATAATCTGCCAATCTTCCTCTCGAAACACATGCTGTGCACAACGTATCGTGATCCATGCAGTAGAAGGCGTTCGTGGCGTCGTGGAGTCGCTTGACATGTGATTGACCGCTCTGATTCTGCTCTCTTCACGAGTACGCCTGCAGAACAATTACTGCTGCCTCCCGTCGTCGTCCAGGTAGACATCCGTACACCCACGATTCTACATCAGGCGGACATCCCCGCGCAAGCAGACTGTTGAAAAAAAAACCTTCGCACTCGTGCATGCTAACATGATGAGCCTCTCGCCGTCTACGCCCTGCTTGTGATTGCCTTTGCCAATTCTGCAAGCGTCTGAACATATCCCAGAGATCGGCAGATTTCCACTTTCTCGAATTCCACGACGCAGACACCACAAAATAAAATAAGCTGAGAAGGCCGATATTTTATCTTGATCTTGTTCGTAGCCTAGCCCGTGTTTGTTCTGCCTTCGTCGCTTGTTGACCCAGTTCGGGAAGACAGCCGCCCTCAGAAATTCTGCACCAATGCTGTCTCTCGGTGCTACTCTCCACAAGCGTAACTTCCATATTTCACGCCTGAAAGCTATGATGTCCTCTTCTGTCTCCTCTGCGGTCACGGTGTTGTATTGTTCCGGTAAGTCGTACATCATCTGAGCCGTAGCTTCGTATTGTACGATCTGCGTTGATGCTCCACCCTCTTCTCCCGTCAACATCATTATCTCTTTCCACTCCGAAGTCGTTCCATTCGTCGCAAGTTGCTTATAAGATCTTTATCGTGGTCCTCGTCCTCTGCACGCGAGAAATCTGGCTAGCCCATGCATCTCGTGAAAATATATGTGGTTTGTTTCGGGCCTCCTCCAAAGCACGAACTCGATCCTCTTGTACTATCTGCCAATATATTTGTTTATGTTGTCTCAACCAGCTGCTCAGGTTGGTGATCCGAACTGTAATATTTAGCTGCTGCAAGTCCTCGTGTTCGGAGTATGCACATGCAAGATGTTCCCTGAGATGGCGTCGTTGTACAAGTAACTGTTTCATTATGCTGCGTGTTGTTCATGGCCCTCTGTGTACCCCTCTTTTGCATACAAGTAGCTTCTGCCCCTTTGACCAGTGCTTCCACCAGGAGTTGGTTTGCCTCCACTGCCATCTCATATCCTGATCTGTTCCTCACCCAAGCTGCTTTAGCCGATATAGTATCGTACACTGCCTTCGTGAACTCCTTTCGTCTGTAGCCTCGTTGAAGAAGTGCGCTGGCTGCCGATGGTTCGATTATCTGCATATGTGTTCTCTTCGGCTCGGGAATGAGATTTTTTGTCAAACAGGAACTCGCTCCCAAGGGCAGATGATCCCACTCTTTCCCCCACCGATGAGGTTGTAACCGCCTCATGTTTCTTCTGAATGTCGTGCACCTCTTGGCTGCAGATAGTGATGCTCTTAGGAATTGCAATATAGTCCAGCGTTCGCGCCGTACCATTTGAAGCCACAGATGCGCAATATGCATTCTTCATCGTGTTGACCTTACACAGTTCATGAGCAGCAAGTACTGGCTTGAGAAACATTTCAGATGTTCGTTCCTCTTCTCCATGTCCGCAGGGGCCTATCATGTCGCTGACCTCCTCGGTGAAAGCAGAACTGAGGTCCATCGTAATCACTGGTATCCATCTTCCGGCCAACGAATCGAGTACTTTTGTGAGCCATCTGATCACCGCTTCACAACATTGCAGGTACTTGAGCTGTTGCGCCTTTTCTCTTGTGCTGGGTGGGAAATAGAGCGAACTGAAGGCTACTCTGACCGTTTGGCGCTCTACCTTGCAACATGGAACTCGTCCTTGTAGGTCTTTTGGGCTCGTCATTACTCCACGAAGATGCGAGGGGCGGAAACATCTGTTGTTGAACCAAATGCTGATGCCACAAGATTTGTTGGTCATCGTTCCCGCCTTCCACCCCTCAGTGTATCCCCAGAAGGAGGAAAACTTGCGCATCTCTCTCTGTCCCTGGTACTGCTTCTCCTGCGCGCCGATGAGCGTGACCACTGTGTGGTTGGCTAGCTCCTCTATTATGTCCTGGGCTCGAGAGAGGGTGGCGCTGTTCGGGTTGTACGCGACCACACGTACACGCCCATGCTGCGCCGCTGAGCACTCTGACATGGCTGAATGCTGTGTGTGCACCTGTCATGTGTCTAGATTCTGAAGCGGCGCGCGTCTCCTGGAAGCCTCATACGGCCGCTTGGAGGAGGAGGAGGAGGAGGAGGAGGAGGAGGAGGCGAACTCCTGTGCACACCCGCGCCTCAAGCTCGACTGCGGTTTCCGCACCCTGCACTGCCGTCGCGCTCCTCGCATCTCGCTCCTGGGGGTTCCGCTGGCCCGCTCCCTTGCCCCGCGCCTCGCCGTCGCGCTCCTCGCTGCCGCGCTTCCCCCCCCCCCCTCCCCGCTTCTCTTCCCCCCTGCCCTCCTTACCATCCTCGTCCTCCTCGCCGCCTCCCCCCCCCGCCCGTCCTCCTCGTCGTCGCCCATCCCCGTGCTCCTCCTCGGCCCCGCCCTCCTCGCCGTCCGCGCCCTCCCTGCCCTCCTCGCCCCCCTCCTCCTCGCACCCCCTCGTCTCCCCCGCGTCCTCGTCCTCGCCCTCGTCCTCGCCCTCGCCCTCTGCTGCGCCCCGAGCTCGACTGCCGCAGGCGGGGGAGGGGCGGCCGAGCCCTCGCGGGGGGGGGGGGGGGCGCGGCGCGGCGCGCGATGTGCGCGGCGGGGCGGCTGCCGGTGCTGCTCCGGCAGTTCGGGCTGCCGAGGCCGGGCCCCACCTCCTCTCTGTGCCAGCGCAATCGAGGCGGGGGGGGAGGAGGGGGAGGAGAGGGAGGAGAGGGAGGAGAGGGAGGAGAGGGAGGAGAGGGAGGAGGAGGAGGAGGAGGAGGAGGAGGAGGAGGAGCAGGAGGAGCAGGAGGAGCAGGAGGAGCAGGAGGAGCAGGAGGAGGGGACAGGTGGGAGGAGGTGGGCGGGGGGGAGAGGGAAGAGCAGAGACTTTGGAGGGACTCTTCCTTGACTGCCGCAGACTGACACCAATAGCATGTCTTAGTTCGAGCAATCCGCTCGCAGACATCCGCCAGCCTATAATGGTACCTTGCAGGAGTGCGCACCTCACATTTTGGGACCAGATGGACTACACAGATCTGTGGTGCCAGCGTAAGCATCGGGAAAGAAGAGGTATCTGGAAGGATTGAGGAGAAGGGACAGCTTTCAAAAGAATTGAATCGCATCCGGCTGTAAGAGAAACACTTGTAGTGCTAGTCTCTGTAAGTCGACCTAGCTGCCCAAGGCCGAAATATTTGGGATGGACTGAGGAAGGAGCGGGGAGGGGGGGAGGGAGGGAAGGTGGGAGGGAGGGCCCAAAAGATTCCAGGAGGTTTTGGCTCCCTGAGGAGATGCTCGGATCCCCCAGGATGTCCCAGGGGGTCCCAGAAGACCCCAGAGGGGGTCCAGGAAAGAATTCTTAGGTGGCCCAAGAGGCCTTAGGAAGCCCGAGGAGGTTCCAGGAGGCCCCCAGGAGGCTCCCCGAGGAGGTCCCAGGAGGCCCCCCAGGAGGCCCCAGGAGGCCTCAGGAGGTACAAGGAGGCACTAGGAGGGAGGTTTCAGGAGGCCCCAGGCCCAGGAGGTCCCAGGAGGTCCCAGGAGGCCCTAGGAAGCACCAGCAAGCCCCGAGAGGTTTTGGGAGGGAGGTCTCAGGAGGCCCTGCTGGAGGTCCCTCGAGGTCCCTGGAGGTTCCAGGCGTCCCAGGAGGCTTCAGGAGGCTTCAGGACACCCCACGAGGCCACAGATTCTGTGGCACAGAACGTTCCAGGAGGTCCCAGGGTGGCGGTCCTATGAGGCCCCCGGAAGTTCCTGGGGGCTGTGTCCGGCATGTGGTTCTGGTCGTTGGTACAGGAGGGAGGGACAGACGGACAGGGCAAAAGAGGAGGAGAAGGAGGAGGAGGAGGAGGAGGAGGAGGAGGAGGGGGAGGGGGAGGGGGAAGAGGACAATCTAGGCGCGCTCGCGTCATCTGATGTCCTACCCCTCCCTCCCATCCCTTAGCATGGCGTAGATCTCCACTCTATTCGCACAATCGGATGTCGTAGCATGGCATAGCATTATATGGCATAGCACGGTGTCGAAGATCAGCGCGTAGCATGACATAGCATGGCGTGGCGACGCCCCAAGGTGGGGGTCGACACCGAATGTGTAATCACTTCCGATGGTTGGTTCGGGAGTGTATGTTTTAAATTTGGGGGTCTATTTGGAAGGACCGAAAACCATGTCGTGGCATGGCACTCCAAATAATGACGCCAGCGCTGCAGCGGGAGCACGATTCGGAACGAGCGGAAGCGCGGAAATGAGGCCAGTGTTGCAGCAGGAGCACGCTTCGGAACGAGCGGTAGCCCGAAAATGAGACCAGCGCTCCAGCGAGAGCAGCATTTCGAAACAAGCCAAAGCGAAAACCCAACTCCCGGGAATCCTGCGTTTCAAAAACCAGTACGCGGAGGGGGGCCGGACATTCCCCGGACGCCACCAGGGGAGAGGAGAGTAGTATTCATATTGCGCAACTGTGGAGGAGGAGGAGGAGGAGGAGGAGGAGGAGGAGGAGGGGGACCAGTGTAAACCCAAGAGTCATCAACGATGTTGAAATTAACCCTCCCTCCAAGCTCCCTCTTCATAGGCTCCTACAGCGGTTCATTTCCATTGAGGGAACTGCCTCGTTGGAAGACGACCGGTTCAAGACCTTGAAGCATGCCAAAACATTGTTCTCGGGATTCCACGCCACGGATCAACCTGACTGCTGCGCCCTGACGATCTGGAATCGTGCCAGAACGCCATTTGTGGGGACTTCAGCACCGCGAAGCAACATAACTGCTGAACCCGCATAATCCTGAACCCCTCCAAAACAGCATCGTTGTCATGGGAATCCGTGGGATTCTTGCAAATGTTTAAAACGAACGTGCGCGGCACTAAAGCGAGAGCCACATTTTGAAACCGACCCGCCCTCAATCCGTGAAAGTCTTGCAACGGTTGTAAACGAATGTGCGCGGCGCTAAAGCGAGAGCCACATTTTGAAACCGACCCGCCCTCAATTCGTGAAGCTCTTGCAACGGTGTTAAACGAAAGTGCGCGGCGCTGAAGCGAGAGCCACATTTTGAAAACGATCCGCTTTCAATCCGTGACACTCTTGCAATTTGTTAAAACGAATCTGCGTGGCGCTTAGGTGAGGGCCAAATGTTGAAAACCACCCGCCCTCAATCCGTGAAACTCTTGCACTTGTTTAACGAAAGTGCGCGGCGCTAAGGCGAGAGCCACATTTTGGAAACCACCCGCCATCAATCCGTGAAGCTCTTGTAAATCTTTAAAACGAATGCGCGCGGCGCTTAGGCGAGAGCCACAGTTTGAAATTGACCCGCCCTCAAACCGTGAAGCTCTTGCAACGTTTAAGTTTTAGGGTCATAAGTGGTGAGGCAGTCTCAGGCGAAACGCCCGGCGCGCCCTAAAAACTGACCTTGGGGTGCGACAGGGAGAAATTTTGTGAATGAGGAGAAGACATGGAGGAGGAGGAGGAGGAGGAGGAGGAGGAGGAAGAGGAGGAGGAGGAGGAGGAGGAGGAGGAGGAGGAGGAGGCGTACGAGAAGAGGGGGAGGGAGAAGGAGCAGCACAGGTGAGGGTGGGCAGGGGGGTGTGGGCGGGCTCCAGGTTGCTATACGTGGGTTGTTCAACGAGGCTCCAGGCTGGCAAGATTCACCAACTAGAGGAGGAGGAGAAGGAGGAGGAGGAGGAGAAGCAGGAGGAGAAGGAGGGGGGGGGAGCGTGGGACGAAGAAAGAGAAGCTTTGGGGAGGTTAGGGCGGGCTCTATGGAGCAGTGTCTTTCTATGGGGGTCTCGCAGGAGAAGGTTATAGGGGGAGGGGGAGGAGGACTGCGGCGACGACGACGCTGACGAGGATCAGGAGAGGGAGCGCTTGTGTTCACTGTGCTTATTGTGCGCGCTTGAGCGTTCGTGCTTGCACGCTCCTCCGCGCACGCGCGCGCTCTTCGGCGCGCTCTCTGTGGTCGGATCTGGGCAAAGCTGGTCGAGAGCCGTCGGCGCCCGGCGGCGCCGCGAAAGCCAGCTTCGTGCGGTAGGATTCGCTGCGGTCAGTAACTTTGGCTTAGCGTGTCCCGCCGCTGGTTCTGGCCCACCACGCTTCGGCGCGGTACGCCTAGCCTCGTCCCCACTTTCCAGGCGTCAACGTCCCGAGCCTCTCCCGCGCCCCCCCCCCAGAGCGGAGCGACACGCTGTCCGCTCGCAGGACATAGCGTGTCGCTGGGGCCACCGCCGCGACACGCTGGGCAGAAAGTTCCTCGGATGTACGACGTCTCGTTCTTAGAATACGGGATCCCATGCCCGACTTTTCATGCCGAGTCGTTGCTTCACTGTCCCGGGGCTCGGCGAGGACCCCCAGCGACCGAAAGCGGCCCACAACCGTCCGCAGCGTTCGCGGCCACCACGCGAGCACGCGCGCGTCTCTGGGTCCCTTCCCCTGCGGGCGGGAACTCTGGGGTGCCGTGCCGCTCCGCCAGCCCTGGCGGCGCGACGCGCCGTCCGCGCCCCGGCCCCCAGGCGTCCGAGCCCCGCGCCTCTCCGAGCCTCCCGCCCAGCGGCGCGGAGCGGTGCGCCGCCCGGCCCGCGGGGCAGGCGCCGTGTCGCGGGGGCCGCCGCCCGCGGCACGGTGTGGGCTGTGGAGGAGCTCCCGGCCGGACCCCCCCCCCTGCTTTCGGGGGCGGAAGAGAGGGGGGTGATGACTAGGGGGGGGGATATCATGGCGGGGGCCATGATAGTTCCCCAGATGTTATAGCGCCTCCTCTTATGTCATCACGTCCCTGGCCCCCCCGCTGGGCCGCGCACGTGCCGCCGGTCATGATTTGCACCCCGTCTCTTTGCCCCCCCCCCTTTGCTATTCGGGCGGGCCGATCCTCCCCCCCAAAAGAGCCCCCTCGGTGGTTCAAAGAGGGGGTCCCGAGAGGCATGGGGTCTTGAAGACGAGGTGCCTCCACTGATCCCTCCCTATCCTCAGGACCCCACCCCTCGGGACCCCATCTTTGGAACCACCGACCTCCGGCCGGCCGCTCCCCACGCCGCGCCCAGCACCGCCACCGCCGCGGAGCTCCGGCGGGCCTACCTGCGCGAGGCCAAGAGGTCCTCGGGGCCGGAGCCAGCGATGGGCCACGGACGAGGGGGGAGGAAGAGGGCCTCCCCATCGCCCTCTCCCCTCATCCCTCCCTCTCCTCACACTCCCTCTCCTCCCAGTCCCCTGCTCTCCCCTCCCAAGAAGGAAGACGAGAGGGTTTAATAGGAGGTGGGGCAATGCGGAGGAGGAGGAGGAGGAGGAGGAGGAGGAGGAGGAGGAGGAGGAGGAGGAGGGGGAGGGGGAGGGGGAGGGGGAGGGGAGGAGGATAAGGAGGATAGAGAGGAGGAGGAGGAGGAGGAGGAGGAGGAGGAGGGAGGGATAAGGAGGAGGAGGGGGAGGGGGAGCAGCAGGAGGAGGAGAAGAGGAGGAGGAGGAGGAGGAGGAGGAGGAGAGGAGGAGGAGGGAGGGGAGGAGGAGGGGGTTGAGGAGGAGGAGGAGGAAGAGGAGGAGGAGGAGGAGGAGGAGGAGGAGGAGGAGGAGGAGGGAGGAGGAGGGGGAGGGGGAAGGGAAGGGGGGGGGATAAGGAGGATAAGGAGGAGGAGGGGGAGGATAAGGAGGAGGAGGGGGAGGGGAGGGCAGGAGGAGGAAGAGGAGGAGGAGGAGGAGGAGGAGGAGGAGGAGGAGGAGGGGGGAGGAGGAGGAGGGAGGAGGGAGGAGGAGGAGGAGGGAGGAGGAGGAGGAGGAGGAGGAGGAGGAGGAGGAGGAGGAGGAGGAGGAGGAGGAGGAGGAGAAGAAGGACGACGAGGAGGAGGAGCAGTAGCAGCAGCAGCAGCCGACGGAGAAGGGGCGGCTGGGTTACCAGTCAGAAGCGCCCTCGCTTCGTGCATGCTGACTTTTCGACTGCTTCTTAGATGCCGCCCGAACCAGCAAGTTCAGGTCCTGGGCTCTCGGAGGAGGAGGGCGAGAAGGTGGAGTGAGATGTGCGGGAGGAAAAAGGGAGGACGAGGCGGAGGAGTAGGATCGGCGGGAGGCAGGAGCATGAGGACAACAGCTGCAGTGGAGGATGCGGAGGGCAACAGCTGATGTGGACGCTGAGTTGGAAGAGTTCCAGTCCCCTATGGATCCCGGTGTGGGAGGAGATGCAAGGGAGGAGGAGGAGGAGGAGGAGGAGGAGGAGGAGGAGGAGGAGGAGGAGGAGGGGATGGGGGACGAGGCGGAAGAAGAGGAAGATGAAGAAGCTGGGAGGAAGGAGGTCAAGTGCGAGGATGAGGACAGGACGATGAGAAATATAGCGGAGTCTCACACAGATCGTGCCCCCATGGGAAGCTTCACTTGTAGCCCCAGCGGGTGCGTGCTTGCATGCAGGCCCACCGCCCAGTCCGGCACACCAGTCACGCGGAGCGTGTCCTCACAGGTGGTTCCACCTACGGCCTCAGTCGCAGCCTTCGCATGCGGGTCCGCCGCCCCATGCGGCGCCCCTCACGCGGACCGCGCCAAACAGAGCTCCACGCACGGCCTTAGTGGGAAAGTCCTCATGTTGGCCAAAGCCTAAGTGGGCACAGCACTCTCAGCACTCTGGCAGATCGTGCCCCCCCCCCCGCCATAGGGAGATCCACCTTCTGCGGGTGCGTCCGCATGCGGGCAGGCAGGCAGGCAGGCAGGCAGGCCCGCATTCCAGCCCCGAGGGGCGGTCCTCTCAGAGGGCAGGCGCATGGGACACGCAGTCCCTCGCATTGGAAAGACTGTGACTATCAATGCATTGACATGTGTGGAAAACTACATGCATGTACACTACACACGGCTCAAGATGCTCACTCTCTCACAAACCCTTCCTCCAAAGCACTCCACATATCATGCTGCTTCGCGCAATGCTGCCATGACATGCCGGTATCTTGTTTGTTGATGTACTCCCGGATGTCGTCGTCCCAACGCCTCTTTGGCCTGCCAGTGGACCGACGCGCTGTGTGCGAAGTCAACGACGGATCCCAAGACATCGCTTGCGAAGCCCAACGGTCGGAGTCCATATTTGCCACCCGGTATGCCCAGCGCCATTTCCTTCTCCTTTGCTGACGCACCCATGAATCAACATGGGCAGCCTGCAAATGTTCTTCTGTCATCCGTGTTGCTCTTCGGATGAAGTCTGCCCACGGCTCCATGCGTGTATTCTCTGGAGAACCCGAAGACGCGCATTCTGGCTCTGACTTGGGGTTGCTGTCCACGTCAGCATACTCAGCATCAACGTCGTGCGCCTCCTCTCGCGATACTACTTTACGTCTTGTGGCTAACATGTGTCTAAGCATTCTCCGCTGCACGCATGTGATTTTATGCTCTACGTCGCGAGTCACAGGCCATACTTCGCTACCATACAGCAGCGTGGGCGCCACCGTGCTGTTCAGCAGCCGAAGCCTAACTCTACAGTCGGGGCCCTGAAGAAGGAACCCTTTTCGTTGGGGAGGGCTCCGCGTTCCTTAAGTGTTTCACAGCTTGCCTCAGGTTTCCCTTATGTTTTCGATGGGAAATCGAAGTTTAACTTATGGAAAAAAGGGGCCTCGTTCCTTATTGAGGGTTCCTTAGGTCAACGCCCCGACTGTACGGCCTCAGTTTGGGAGCCTCCGCGCGTTGGCCCACGCCCGATCCGGCGCACCCCTCACACGGCGATGCTTGGCGCTCGCCTCCCGGCAGCGACAGCCCTGGCTGTCGCTGTCTCCCGCCTCCCGCGGGCAGCGCCTGCTTCGAATCCGTGTGTGTGTGTGTGTGTGTTGCATTGCATGTTTTCTCGCACGTGCTGGCTCCTGCATTGCAGATGATGTTGGCTCGGGCTTTACCTTCAGTGATGCACACTGGCATACCGGGGCTTCTGCTGCTCGTCTTCTCGCATGCGTTGGCCAGAGCGTTGTAGTTGATGGTGCGGTCACTCTGCTCCTGCTCTGGCAGCGGCGCAGGAGTAGGAGGAGGAGGAGAAGGAGGGGAAGAAGCAGGATGAGGAGGGGGAGGAGGAGGGGGAGTTGTGAGTACCAGCGGATGCTGATCCACCAGCGGGTGCGCATACATCATATGATCAGTCATCGTTAAAT